AGTCTTATCAACTTGTATTCTTTTAATTAGCACAAGTTTTGTATTTCCTTTTTGAACTGCTTGATCATATGAATCGTTAATCTGAGCTTATGCACTTCAGTTTTTTGAGTGTTAAAAAATATCTGTGGATAATTTTGGCAATATTGACTCAAAACAGATCGATGAGGCCTAAAGTCTGTACGTTTGAGTTCAATACAGTAGCATTAACCAGCATTTTTGTGGAAAAGAAAAGCCTCTCTGTGTCAGAATGACTGAAACAACACGAGGGTCAAGAGTCTTGTTGTGGGCTGCTGACTGACTCGTGATTTATTCAGTGTTTTTTCAAAATAACCAATTAATTCTTTTAGAGTTTAGAATAGACTGCTCCAAAAGCGCAAACATTATACAGTAATTCACACTGTAATGGCTTGACTGTGTTTGTATGATGCGAGTCATATTTATTTATATCAGAAATATGCATGAGTGGTAGATATGACTGTTTAATGAGGAAGTGATGGGTAGAGCCAGTCTTGTTTATATATAGAAACATGTATAAAATTTGCCACAAGATGTTTATTTTTTTTCTCTACTGTACGTTCGGATTTATATTTTTGTATCTATTGCACTGTGAACTTCCTTTAAAATCCATTAATGTTCCAATCTCAATGGAAAAAACTGATTTCACAATAGAATATGGAGTAAGTAAGACTCTTGTAAGAATAGGAGTCCATAAGCGTCTGTATGAAGAGGAAGAGGAAGTGAAGGGCGATCACACCCTCCATCTGGCAGGATCTGACACCCCACCTATAACCTCTGAAAAGGTCAGCGAACTGGAACCAACGATCAATGCATCATTAGTCATTTAAACCCTCAAGTGTTGGTGGATTTACCATTTCACACACTGATTATTGTGGAAAGTATTTGAATAAAGACTGCTAAAACCGCAAATGTCCTGGTTGTTTACACTCTAGTGCGTATTACTCTATTAGTCACAGTCTATTAACATCTGAATCTTGAACGCTGGAAGCCCATCAGCTGTTTAGTAACTTTATAAGTTCACTGAAATTGATTTGATTCCTTTTTTCCCAAATGCCGTGGCTGCCTGATGACCTCGCAATCATTTAGACACCAGATAAGAAACACTTCAACCAAACCTGTGACCGTGACCAGAAAAACACCATAGGTTCGAGTTCATAGGACTCGAGTGCTGAATTCATGTGAAATGCTTAAAGGGGTCATCAGATGCCCATTTGATATAAGTTGATATGATTCTTGAAAAGTCTATAACATACTTTGGTTAAAATTTCTCAATGGTAGTGTAAAAAACACCTTTTTTACCCTGCCAAAATTAGCTCTGTTTTTAGCAAGCAATTTTAGTCCATGTTGCTTTAAATGCTAATGAGCTCTGCTGACCCCGCCCCTCTCTTCTCTGGGTGATGACGAGCAGTACTGTTTGCTTACTTTAGCCGCGAAACTTGCTAACTAGTACATATTAGGAAAGGCGATTTGCAAAGATTCATAAAAAACCTTATACGCACTACTACTTCTGTAGATGAAGCTGGATCACGAATGATTCGCGCGAACTTAAACGCATTTAGGCAGATCGGGGATCGGCGCATTCCCTTCAAAACGAAAGTAACGTTAATCCTCTGCGTCTTCAGCGGCTCAGATGTCGGGAGTAAATGACAACTGCTATGTTCATTATCACATCTAACAACAGGACACATCAATTGCTTAATCTGAGGCATTTTTGTCTTCCCCTGCACCGGAGTCGACACAATGGCGGACTGATGACAGCTCACTCAGGGCGGAGCTAAGGTAAGACGGACCTGTCAATCAACTATCGTGGGAGGGGCCTGTGCAGAACTACATTCTGACAGGAATCTCAGAACAGCCGGATTTGAGAAAGGGGATTTTAAAATAGGGATTAAAAAAATAAAACACGGGGGGATTTTTATCATTACAGGACGGATGTTTACACACACTTCCAACACATTTACGTTCAAACAACAACAAAAGTGCATGGTTTAATGAACTGATTTACTTATTAAACATGTAAAATGCATGAGATGTATGTTAACTCCCATTGAGGATTTTATTTGCTAGATTATCCTGTAGCTAGTGTTATACTGTGATGATGATTAAACAAACAAAAAAAGACAATATAGGATAAGTTGGAGGTTGCCCTAACTAAGTAATGAATAAGAATTATTTTCAAGAATTTTAATTCTTAATTTCATCCTAACAAAAATACAGAATACTCTTGTATCTCAAGTTAGAAAACAGGAAATCCCAAGTTAAGAAAATCTGTGATGCCAAATGTATTTAGTATTCAAGTGCTATGTTCATTATCACATCTAACAACAGGACACATCAATTGCTTAATCTGAGGCATTTTTATGGGATGATATTAGACTCAAAATGATTAATAGACGCACGCAATAAAACACGTGGGGGATTTTTATCATTACAGGATGGATGTTTACACACACTTCCAACACATTTACGTTCAAACAACAACAAAAGTGCATGGTTTAATGAACTGATTTACTTATTAAACATGTAAAATGCATGAGATGTATGTTAACTCCCATTGAGGATTTTATTTGCTAGATTATCCTGTAGCTAGTGTTATACTGTGATGATGATTAAACAAACAAAAAAAGACAATATAGGATAAGTTGGAGGTTGCCCTAACTAAGTAATGAATAAGAATTATTTTCAAGAATTTTAATTCTTAATTTCATCCTAACAAAAATACAGAATACTCTTGTATCTCAAGTTAGAAAACAGGAAATCCCAAGTTAAGAAAATCTGTGATGCCAAATGTATTTAGTATTCAAGTGTTTTTTTAGAATGGCATTTCACCGAGTTCATGAAATTGAAATTGTACAGAATAAGCCACATTGGAAAAAAAAGAAAACAAAATGAATCACACAGACTAAGATATAGACTAAAGCTTTATCTTACCTAACCTGAGAACCATGTCTTATACAGCAAACTCGATGTCAAACGTTTAACTTGTTTTTATGGTAAAGTGCTGCACTTTAAAATACAACCAGCACAAACCAGTTCATCAAGTATTCACATTCTCCTAAATGTGCCTTTTAACTAAAACGACATGCACAAAACCCACTAAAAACGTATGCACTTAAATCAAGAAAACAGACACACCGAACAGCACGTGTCAATCTGTCTCTCTGCGCATGAGCGCCACCTCGAGGCGAAGCAGGACTGAGTTAACTCGACCTTAACCAGTTAAAGGGATAGTTCACCCAAAAATGTATTGCAAGAATTGCAAGAAAAAAGTCAGAATTGTGAGGTAAAAATCACAATTACCGTTTTAATTGTATTATTCCGTCCGTTGCATCAGTGGGAACGTATGGCATTGCTCCTGGATGCTGGAAAACATTTATGCAGCACAGTAAACCTGTAGCATTTTAAAGCATTAGACACGGTCACAAAAACAGAAAAATATAAAACTGGGACCAAGAATCTGCACAAGGCGTTTAATCCAGTTTAGACAGAAGAAGAGTGGAGCAAACATGAAGGATCAGAGCTGGAACAGAGACGAATCGAAGTCCTGAGAACAGACAGAAAGCACATCGATATGGCCTTCAAACCTCATCCGGACCAGACAGAAACATCTGACCGGAGAGAGATGAGTGTAAGTGTGTTTCCCTGGTCACCTGACCCATTACATCACAATCATACAGACGTGACCTTTGACCTGTGAGGCGGAGGCCATCCGGTCTTTGGTTCGGCTGGGTTACGGTGAGCAGGTTTGGCCACCTGATTGTACAAATGCAACAGTTCACGTTTGGTTTCGCCACGAGAAAAAGACACACAGAGAAAGGAGAGTCCAGCTCGAGGGATTCACGTCCAGCATTCCGGATTCTGCGCGGGAACGGGAACGTTTCGTCTCCCGTCGTCACGGCAGCATGAGGTATGTAGTGTAAATCTCCACAGCAGAGTCTGAGGTACTTCACCACTGATTATGCATTTATATCATCTTAACAATAATGAGAGTTCACTTAAAAACATCACAGTACTTCCTGAGAGAGACGCCTTCCTGCTACGGAGGGCAAAAATGTGAGACGAAAACGTCAAGCGTCAGTGTGGATGAAAGACGTCATAGAGACACGCATCTGACCGACGCGGAGCTGCTGCTGCGCTTGAGGAATGATTGGATGGTTACGCTGAGAATTCATCACACCATTCATGGGTGGATCTCATGAAACCTCTACATTAATCCAAAATCAACAGAAAGAAATAAGAAATCATATTTTGCATTAAGAAAATGATGCCTGTTTTAGGCCTATCTAGATGTTTTACGCTGTGACTATTATTTAAATATTATATGCATATATATGTATATGCACACATGTGCATATATATTTATAAAAATATATATATTTATACACTTACGTTTATAGATTATAAAATATATGTGCATATAATGTGCTTACATATATTTATTAAAATCTAAAAAATAAAATGTAAAATATGTATGCAAATATGTGCGCACATATATATATATATATAAATAATAAAAAATTAAAATAAAAAAAGTTTTATATATATATAATACGTAGATAGAAATATATGTAATATATATTTATATATTTTATTAATATATAATATAAATCATATATATATATACTGTATGTATGTACACACAAATGTAAACACAAACTTTTATTTTGGATGCGATTAATCATTTGACAGCCATAATATATATATATATATATGTGTGTGTGTCTGACCCTGGACCACGTGTATATATATATATATATACATATATATAAAATGCTAAATTTCTTATTTCCTATAAATTTTCTTTTGATTTTCATGCGATGATGAGATTCACTTTGATATTCAATTATTAAAATATAAAAAAAAATTAAAATAAAATATCTATGCAAATATGTGCATATACATATATATATAAAATAATAAAAAATAATATATATATATATATTTTCATGAGATTCACCCACATATTTAAAGCCTGCCCCGAGATCCAGCTGAAAGAATTAGTTTTAGCAGACCCCAGAGACGAGACATTCAGCTGCTTTCTGAGGTATCTGACGGTTGTTCTTGGGTCCTGACATCTTCAAACGAACGTGATTCCGAACAGCAGATTTATTCCCCAGAACCCGACAAGATTCCGAGATTCGTCTTCCCTAACGAGCACCGATGCATAGAAGAGAATCAGTGCGGCCCCGTCCTAAAACCCCGCCAGCGTTTCTGATCCTGACGAATTAAAACCAATTCTACAAAAAAATAAAACGTATTCAGAGAAAGCCTAAACTACAGCCCCTGAGGTAAAAGACGTTCCTGTAATGTTCCGCCACTGAATGTTTGAGGTATGAATGTAACACGAGGAACCTTTATGAGGAAAAAAAAAGTCCCGAAACAATCAGAAGACAGATCAAAACACACTAAATAAAATCTTCAAGTTCTGTAAAACCTGCCCATCGTTTGGCTGAACGTTCTGATCGTATTTAGCGTTTTCTTCAACACGCCGGACATCGTTCACGAAACACGAGTATGAACTTCTGCATGAATCCAATCGAAATTACATAACTGTTGCGTTGATTTGATTGTGACTTTTACACAAGACTGTCTCGTGATTCATGAATGAGGTCCAGCCACGTTATTTTTTGCATGTGTGTCCATGCTGCAAACATGCGGACAGGAGAAAATGAGGTACTGGTTGTGCAACAGTTTGATTTTCAGCAATCAGTGACTTGAGAGCCAACCGGCAGACGGTTACGGGGAGCTCCGCCCCTTGGAGGAGGAGGAAGAGGCGGGGCTTTGGCTGGGGGCGGGGCTAGAGAAGGTGAAGCTGGGTCCTGCTGGAGGAGCATTCACACTCGCAGCTGCAGCCGCCGACTTCTGAGCGAACAGAGTTCCTGCAAAAGAAAACGCGTCAAAAACAACTACAATTAACACTCGACGCCAGGGATCAGCCGAACCCTTTCGACATAACTTATTTTCTTGCACATTCACGTTTACGGTTCTCTAATCGGTGGTTAATTGTCACGTGGCACGAAAGCAAACATTAAAAACGTCAAGCTCTTTTTAGTTGTGATTGTGTCTCAGTTGACATTACATTCACACTGCTGTTTTAAGCAGGGTTATGATAGTTAACTAAAACTAAAACCATTAAAAAAAAGATTTTTCGTTACTTGCATAAAATAAACATTAACTGAAATAAAATAAAATATGAACTATTTTATTTCACACACACACACACACACACACACACACACACACACACATAAATGCTAAACTTCTAATTTCCTATACATTTTCTTTAGATTTTCATGCAATCATGAGATTCACTTTTATATGCAATTATTAAAATATAAAATATGTATGAAGATATGTGCATATACAAATATATATAAATATATTCAAAATAATAAAACTTGATGTACTTAAATAATAAAAACTAAAACTGGAATAAAAAATGTAGATGCATATTAAAAAAAACTAATAAAAATTCCAAAAACACACAACAAAATAACTAAAACATTAACTAAAATTTTAATTAAAAATATAAAAACAAAACCTAATTCAAAATATTAATAAAAAAACAGTATCTGAATGATACTAAAATAACACTGGTTTTAAGAACCAAATAAAACTGAATAATAACAATAATGACAATGATTAATATTATTGCTTTAACTATAATTACAAAAATAACTGTACTGTAAAATAATCATTAAAAAGAAACACCAAGTTACAATGCTAATATTTGTCTTAAATTCTTCACTTTCAAGCGTTCAAACCTTTGAACATTAAACATTTCAAATGCTTGAGCTTTTATTTTGGCGGAATACTGCTACAGTGCTGTAAACTTCTGTCCACAAAAATGTTGAAGCCCCATTTGGGAAACCCTGCTCAACGCAATGCATTCTGGGATTGGTTTTGTAAGCCATACCTGAGTAAACGATGCCGTTGACTTCCACCGACACGCTGACACTCGCCGCTCCGCTGGAGGAAATACTCACGGCCAGATCCTGCTTCTCATCTACAGACACAAACACTCATTAACACACACACACAC